GTCAAACACCTCCCATAATGATGTTAACATGAGACAAAATCAAACGTATTCCCTTGAGTAGAATGGTACCTCTCATACATGTTCATTCATATTATTACATATAGGGACAATGCCAACTTAAAAGATTAAGTTAAATAACGAACTTATCTATAGTATTGACGAGACTTTAGGCTGTTTGACAGTAATGAATAGACACGTGGGCAGTTAAAGCCGTTAGAGTGTGCAAAACAGGCCTGGTAGAGGTGTCAAGGAGTTATGTTGGAGAGGGCCAAGTACGCCCACTCGGAGCCTAGCTTTAAAAACGATCTGACAACTCATTAATGTAGGTCTTAAGTGGCTAAAACAAATTTATTAATGAATGTCCAAGTCTTTGAAAAATGTGGAGACAGTCATCATTAGAAGGCATTAATAGCTATTACGCCAACATGAAGTCCTTGGGCAACCCCGAGGGTGCTTGTTCTCGACTAATGAACGTTCGGGTGTAGGTGTCAAGTATCGAGAAGAGGTATTAATGACCAGGGTTGGACCAAGACTGTTTGGTGGTTCTCGAGCAAAGGTCCACTCGCATGAGGAGGCTGGTCTTGAGAGGATTTGATGGAATGACACTCATTATACTAGGATATGAGTACAGACCATTAAATTCTAAGATGAGACTTAGGGACGCTGCCATCATTGCAAACTCAGATATAAATACCCCTCAAGAAGCTAGACTAAGGTACGCAATCTAAATAGAGAAAATGTATTGTGATTTGTGGCTCAAATGCCAACTGACTTGTCACGTCCCATCCCGATCTCCCAAGGATGAGACGCAACTAGGTTTTCGACACACCTGTTTACATATGTAATCTAGATTAATAAAACACTAAATAATCTCACAGGTGCAACAACACCGCCTATCACCTTAGTCATTAAGCATGATGGTAACATCTGACTCATAACTTGTATAATATTACACATATATCATTTTTTTCCAAGCCATATACATATACAAAATTTCACACTCACATAACATATATTAGAAATTATACTTGTTGAGTCTGTTTACAATTATACACTATTAACCTGCTATAATAATATGTCACTCAATATAATATATAACCCGACAAATAATTGTACAAACACTCAACCTGTATCATTCACTTATTAAAACTAAATACATAATTAACAGATATACAACCTGAGTAATATCACACTAACTTCATTGAACTACTTCGGACTGAATTCAACTCTACGAGATAATACTCAACTGTTTGGACAGTGGACTGATCTGCACCTCCTTCGATAGTATATGGAAAAGATAAACTATAAAGGTGTAAACTAAACCAAAATAACAAGTCGATTTCGATCGTTTCGCCTCCACATAAAACAAAATATATACAAACAAAATTATACACAAACAAGATTATGTACACGGAACAACGACCCTCAATCCATGATGAAGATCATGGGACTTACCTCCGTCGTCCGGAACTCACTTTCTTTGTTTGACACTTGCCTTCTCCGACAACGGCGCCAAAAATGCTTAACAAAATTTTTTGTTGTTTCTTAACCTCTAAACATCACCTTTTAGCATGTATAGTATATGAATGAAGGAGAATGTCACTCTCTTAGGGATGATGTCAAAAGAAAGAGCAACATAATGGTAGATGAATGAAATGTCAAATGTGAGTATGTGTGAACAAAAGTGCTTCCCAAGCGCAAGGAGACTTTCGCGGATCATGTTTTACTTGGTGGTATTCCAAGATCGTTTCCACGGGGAAGGAAGTAAACCGAAGGGAAGGTAATTTTGGGAGAAAGAAAGGGTAAAATCTTTGATCGTTGGAAGTTGTTTGGTGAAGTTGTTTTGATGCTAGTAAAATGAGAAACAAATGGTGGCAAATCCAAGAGGACACTCCAATAGGAATACCGTCTCAACTCGAAACCCTCCTCCAATAGAGCATGAATGAATGATTGATTCGTGGGAAGCTAGGGATAAGATTGGTGAGTATCTAAGCATAAACCGTGACTAGGCCTACGGAATATCAAAGACTCACCAAGTTATCCACCCTCAACCCAGTCAAACCGAACCATTGAACTCTGAAAGAGGGGAGGAGAATGAGTTGAAATGGTATACCCAAGTGGAGGTTCCTCTTGGTTTTGCCAACTAAGAGATTTAGCTATTCATGCTTAAAATAAAGACAACAATATGATGAGAAAACATTATAAAGAAATAAAGACTAGAGCTAAGCATAAACGAAATGCATAAATATAACTTTCGGATAATCAACTCTTGCTAAAGATTGAATGAAAAACTACTCACTCTTCATGACTTTGTTAAAGCTAGAAAAGTGAGTGATGTTCATCCCTCCAAGTAGAGGAGTTACAAGGTAAAACACTTTACACAAGGAGCCGATCTTCAACAAAAAATGAGTGAATCATGTTCCACCCTTCACGACTTTGGTAAAACTCTAGAAAAGTGGAAGAGTTTCACTCCTCTAAGGAAAGAAAGAAGTTCAAGCAATTGAAGTAAAAGAAAGCAATAACACAATAAAAGAAAACAATACTTAAAGTAAAAGAAACCAATAATACAATAAAAGAAAATAAAACTTAAAAAAAATAATAAGCAATAAGGAAATCAATAATACTTTTGGAGGGTTTTCCACTACCAAAAGATGAATGTTTTACAAGTCCTAAGGGGTGGTATTTATAGGCAACAAGGGAGGGTGAAAATCTTGTTAGGTGGCTTTGAATTACATGAAAGTCTTGTTTGGTGTCCTTGAATTACTTAAAAGTCTTGTTTGGTGACCTTGAATTACATGAAAGTTTTGTTTGGTAGCCTTGAAATCTTTGATCCCCCTNAAAAGTCTAATTAGGTGGCCTTGAATTACATGAAAGTCTTGTTAGGTGACCTTGAATTACATAAAAGTCTTGTATGGTGGTCTTGAATTCTTTGATCCCCCTTTGTTTTGAGCTTTGATAATTGGCACATCAGTAGTTTGTAGCTCTGACGCATAAAATTCTGAAAAGAACAACAATTAATGTATTATCTTTTATTCACACACTAATACTAATTTGATTTATTTTGACTAGTTTAACTTTATTCAACTAACACAATATATCTATTAAATTATGTCTTAATTAGGGTTAATCACTCATGAAATTGAATTGTTCCTTGCCAAACAATTGAATTGTTCCTTGCCAAACAATGATTTGGATTGAATAGCAAACATAACCTATCCAATTAAGTGGCTGATTGGGTTTGAATGGGATAGATTAAAAAAACAAAAAGTCCTATCCTTTGTTATTATTGCCGGTTATCTAAATACACCCATGCGTACTATCATGAAATGTAGGTTCCACCATACCAATGGGCTGTCCTATTGCTACCCTGTTGATAAATGAAAGCTGCCGACAAACTTATGAAACTTCTAAATTTTGATAATCCATCATTCATGCGTAAATTCTTTGAAGGAAGTGAAAGCTTAACAAACGATTTCTCTTGATGCATGCTAACACCCAATGCTGCATACTTCAAAGTTATGAACAAATCTAATAGGATTTTTTTTCCCCGGTACGCGGTTGCTTTTGAGCCATAGTGTCTTCTCATTAATGGCCTAATGTAGGAGTATTAAAATATAATACGATTTATTAATTTTATATAAAATTAGAAGATTTAAATATTTTTTAAGTTATCTATTTCATAAATGAGTGTATCCAATATAAAATGATTAATATATAAATAAAATTAATAAAAAATATATATAATAATAATTATTTATATAATGATTATAAATGATTCATTGGGACGATATATTTTTTAACTATAATTATACAACAATCTCACTCTCACAGACATTTGAGTAAGTGGACCAACCCGACACTGACACTAAGGAAAGGACCATTCAAGCATAGGACTCCTTGAGGTACAGATGGGACTGTTTTGTCAAGTAACATATGCGAGGAGCTAACCTCACCCACCATATCACCCATGCTAAAGAAATGCTGCGTTTTATTTTTCACCGACCGTAATCCATGTCTGAAGCTAGGGGTGGCTCAACAATTTTGTTAAAAAAATTGGGATTTTAGGTCCCATTTTTAGAGAAGGCTCCAAATTTATAGATGTCATAAATAATTCATATAAAAAAAATAAATTTATATATATTTTAAACCCTACAAAAAAATCTTATAAAAATATAAGTTCAATTAAAAAAAAATTTAAGTTCAAAGAAGGCATAGTAATTTATAGGTGTACAGTAATTATTCAAATACAATATTTAAATCTATGCCCTACAAAAGATTTCAACATAAATAGATTGTACCTATTAATTCAACCGTGAAATTAAAAGGTCTTAATTTTTTTTTTATAACAAAAAAAAAAAAGAAAATAAAACTAACAGTAAAACTAAAACTACTAAAAAAAAATATAATTTTAACTTTCAAAAAAGTCAAGTTTAAATTTATCATCATAATTTTTTAATTATTCTTTCTCTCTTACCATTAAGTTCAAATATGATAATAAAAGCTTGAATATAAAATTTTAAATAATATTTTTTGTATTAAAAAAATTAAAAATGAGATTTATTTTTAATATTAAAAAAAAACCTCACTTATCGTTTTCGTTTTGAACCCCAAAATGTCTTGAGCTGCCCCAACTTAAAGGCACGATATAGCATAAGTGAAAAATAATAGATTTGAGGTGGGGAAAAATTTAATATGAATGAAAATTTAATGTGAATGATTTTGAGAAGAATGTTTATGACATTTAAATGAATCGATTTGAGACCGTTAGATAAATTTATTAAAATCAATTACGTTCTATATTATCGATTTTTCTTTATTGATTTCACTGCCTTCTATACAGAACAATATGAGAAGAAAATTTTGCACTTTTCCATATATAATTTTTCCATACAATCAGGCTAACAATCTGTTCTACCAATTTCCACCTTTCTCTCTTTTTGTTTGCTAACAATAAATACAAATTTGAAAACGAGAAAGTGGAAACCCAAAATACTATCTGCCTAACGCGCTATTTCAGACTGCAACGCTGCATTGTGCTCCACTTGTTCAGCCTCCCACCTTGCTTTGGCCACTACTCCATCATGCACAGGGACGTACTCCTAACCAATCCAAAACAATGGACCCAATTAACTTGGAGTTGTCAACGCTATTTACCCAAAATATATATATATATTTCGGTACCTAATCGATATTTATCATTTTTTGAGTTTTTTTATCATTATTGTGATACCAAAAAAAAAATGGTAATAAATAGTTAATACAATAGTAGTAAATCACCCACAAAATTAGTAATGTTTTTCGTATAAAAAAAAGTGATAAAAATAGTTGACACAATAGTCGTAAAAATACCAAAAAAAATGACAATTTTTTTTTTTTTTTGTAAAATGACTTGTAATAATCATAAAAACTCTCATTAATGTAGTAAAATTTAGAGGTATGGTATCGAACTTTTTTTAGTACCGTAGTCGAGTGGAATTAACTTTGATTTTTGAGACTGCCAAATCAATATGGGTGTCACAAAAATGAATGATATGTATGATATGNTGGTATCGAACTTTTTTTAGTACCGTAGTCGAGTGGAATTAACTTTGATTTTTGAGACTGCCAAATCAATATGGGTGTCACAAAAATGAATGATATGTATGATATGGCCTGTGCAGTACCTCAAGTTTATGAACAAGCTCCCCAGCGGTTGGCGCCGAGACGATGATGTGGCGCTGAGAGGGCTTGATAAACTCATCATCCACTGCCTTGTCTATGAAGGTCAGTAGGGAGTTGTAATACCCATCTACATTCAGCAAACCCACCTGCAAATGATATATTCAACTCAGATCAGCTGAAGGAATTTGCTGATTTTGGGATGAATGAATGAAGAGCTCCCAAATTAAGCCAATCCACAATACTATTACTATTAGAGAGACATGATGAAGTGACTTTACAGGTTTGTCGTGAATCCCAAGCTGGGCCCATGTTATGACTTCTAATAACTCTTCCAATGTTCCATAACCACCTAATTATGTAGGTACAGGATTAAAATCTGTTTGATAATCCGGATGAGTGGGAGTGAGAGTGAGACAGAAACCTGGTAAGGCAATAAAACAGTCAGAATGGCGGGCCATCTCAGCTTTCCTTTGGTGCATGTTGTCTACGGGTCGTACCTCACCAACAGTTTCACCAGTTATCTGCTTCATAAACGAAAAGTACTGAAGCATAATACATATCTTTGATAATGGGGAATACCTATCTAGCCACACAGAAGAAATTAAAAAGATTCAGATATAATCAAAGAAATAAATTAACAACCCACATGCGAATATGTTAATAATATATACCTCTTTGCACATTAGAGTTTTGGGGATGATCCTGCGAGAACAACAAACAAAGGTGAAAAGTCAACCAAAAAAAAATCTGAAAATTTAAAAGCAAAACCTGGTAAACAACATTGCTAGCTGAATCATGACTAGAAATTATACCCTAAGACATGCCCTCCACCACGATGGACTTCCTGAGAAATCAAGCCCATTAATCCAAGGCTGCCCCCGCCATAAACAAGATCCAATCTCCTTGAGACCTTCACTCAACCAAAACCCAAGATAACTAGGCTTAGATAGCGCCTTCTAAATAAAGAAACAGAATTTATGTTTGCATATAGATGTTTATACTATATTATGTGATTCGTGTGAAGCTAAGGTTTTTTCTTTTTTGTGTCTACCAGCTCTTTGCCCAATTCAAGAGCAGCATCTTTGTAGCAATTTCTCTTGCCGGTACTGCTTCCACAGAACACACAAACCCTTCTGAACCTCGACTTCACTGCTTTCTCCTCCATCTGTGTGTGTGTGTGTGTGTGTGTGAGGAGTGTGTGTGAGGAGGACTCTATGTCTCTATTCGCTGTTTGGTTGGATTGACATCTCTCAGAGGGAATTTACCGTGTTTTTCTTGGGTGTCCCGATACAGAAAAGGAACGCCAAACAACAGCTATAAATGGAAATTCCGAAAAGAAAAACACCAATGGTGATTGAATGACTATTGGAATCCTATTTTGCCACGTGTTTGAGGAATCAGAAGATAACTCCCGGATTCCAATTTTCTTCTTCATTGCCGTCCTATTATTCCTCGAAACGGGACCCACTAAAAGCCATGGATCCCACTTGTGATTCCTGTGGACTTGGAGCTTATAAACATAATTAACATTCATATCAGAATCATAAATGCAAACGTGATCAAATTCATGGTTCAAATGACGTAGTAAAATAGGTTGCCTTGATTAGCCACATCATTTGAACTAAGAGTGACATTTTTGAATTCTAAACTTAGTAGGAGAATATAATCATAATCCACTTCAATACATTTTTCATAATTCACAACATACAATCGGGCAAATAGGTCAAATGTTCAGATAAATGGACCGAGCTATTAGCATAACCAAGGTAAAGACAAGATTAAACAGAGTTTACAGGTAGTCTACCATAAGAAGTCACAAGATAGCTAGACTATTCTAAAAATCATGGGTAGAACTAAACTGATAAGATCGTTGCCGAAATGATAGGTGAACATGCGCATGTCTTAAGAGTTAGGCAAATGAGAAAATAAGTTAGAGAGAGATTTTCAGCATCAATCAAGAATGATTCGGCTAAAAATTAGGTGTGTCACATAATATAATCAATTACAGAAACCTAACAAAAAGGGCGCCGACAACACTATAAATATTGGGAAATGCTTGAATCAAATGCATGCACTTTTATCCCTTCTAATTCCCTTATTGTTTGAGTTCATACTGACTTAAGCATCTACCAACTCTAAGTCTCTAACAACTTCGTGTTTAGGAACAGTGGTGCAACCTTGTTCGTTTTTCCAGTCAACTCAAAGTCCTAGTCGTCAAAGTAAGGTACAAGAATTTTTTCCACAAACAGTTACTCTATATATCTATAGTTTTGTTTCTATTGCCTATTTGCCAACATATTTGTGATTTGAGTTTAATGGTACATATCATCAAAAGTCTCTTTGTACGTGAAAATAGAACTACATATATTTAATCCTCGATTGCTCATGAAAGCAATGATGTGCGGCACAGTTAATTACCGGCGGGGTGATTATGAAGAACAATAATAATTGGACGCCTACACAGTATTCATAACAGTGTTCAAATGTCGAGTACTCAATGGTGTCCTTGCTTAAGCAGGTTTGGTTAGATAGAACAGCAGGCAGTACAATTTTGACCATTACTATTTACTAAGACTGCTCGTTTTATCCGAGAAAGGAACAAGAAAGTGTCCATTAGCACAGTGATTTGGTACCCTTGTAAACCCTAGATATGAATTACTATTTTTAATTATTTGCCAGATCGTTGACGAGTAGCAGAATGGTTTTCAAAAGAAACTAGGACTATTGTTCAAAATTCTAATCAGTAGACTAAGACCACCATCCTAACCACCAACACACAAAAGGTCAGGTAAAAATAAACAAGAAAAGGATAATGAATAAACCACATTAATTCCTCGATCCAACTCTCATTCCCTCTAGCAGCTTTAATTGACTCCTCTGAATAAGACAGACAGAAGACATAAAGAACCACTCGTCTTCTCCTAAATTTCCCCTTCCCCTTCCCCTTCATCACTTTTTATTGGTTGCAACGACTGCAGTGAAATTTAGTGGGGTTTTGATGAGATCTTACATCTATCAAACTCATTTTGATACCACCCTTGATGCAGCGGAACAAGGAACACAAATAAAATACTGTTTTTAAATGTATATAATAAAGATATTCTAAATTCAAAGCGAAAGAAACAAGAGAATATTTCTAAAATATATATATCATTCAATAAATAATTGGTATTACATAAGAGAATCGTCCCCATAATAGAGGTAAATTTACTAATTATACGAAAATTTTCAAATATAAAAAATTATAATCTAATTAATTAACATAAAAACACGTATTGTTTAGAGTTTAACAAAAATGACAACACTGAATTCGAAATCTCTTATGATTTATTATTAATTTTCAAATTTTTTTTCCTAAAATGACAAAAATGAGATTTTGAGAACTTAAACGATGGAATTCAACCTAAATTTGAAGGAGTTCATGGCATAACAATGAGACTTGATTGTTGGTTGGATCCGGATCAAACACCACCTCTCCACCAATTCCAAGTCTGACCCATTTTATCTCTAGTCTACTATCACCTTTTTGCTTTTCGTTAATTTTGGACGCATGGCGACATTCCTACTCCAAATAATTAGCTGCCACATTTTCTACATTAACAATTGAACTAGTTAGAATAACTTGTAAATAAATTTTGTTACCATAGTGAAAATGATTTGTAATTGTAGATCTTATTTTGATTTAATCATAAACCATCGAATGTTGTGAAAATAAAAAAGTGTAGACAAAAGATAAAATAAAATAAATTTACACGTATTATATTTTTACTAGAGAAGAAGTAAAATATGCAAGGAGAAGTACCAATAAGTAGGTTCAAAAAAAGGTTAAAAGTATAAGAATTGGAAAATAAAGGTTTGAAGTGGGATAAAGGCCTGCTACACTGTCGGTATGGCGCCTACTCTTGACTCCTTGAGATGTATGGTGTGAAAATTTTGGCAAATGTCTTCTCACGTGGTCATATGCTTTCCATAAATTTGGGTGTTGATATGAGGGAATATTAATGGGAAGAGATTGGTTGGTCCTGCTACTAGTTGTTTACGTATACAACTCGTAAAGAAAATGACCTCCATTTTGACACCAATGGTATATAAAATCCTCAATTACAACCTAATACCATGTAGAATTCTAGTCGGTTGTGTGGACCCTATTCTCTTTCTCTCCCTTCTTGGAGTTGGACTGCCGGTGGTGGCGGTTGTTGATAAAGAAAGAGAAAGTTAATGGTCAGCTTTTGGCCAACTATAATGACAATTCGAAACCCAAGTTGTATATAAGGTATGGTTGACAATGTAAAGTAGGAGTCTGTATTGGGTGGTTGGCGCCTCTGAAGTCTAAACTTCTAACTTTGTGTTTAGTACAGAAGTCAAAGAGGAATGGACTTGGATTGTAGCCGTAGGAGTGCCCTTTTGGAATAATGCTGCTAATTGTTTTTCTTCATAGAAATAGTCTAAGGTATTAAAAAAAAAAAAAATTCGGTACCATACTATCAGTTATCAATTTTTATTGTAAAATTACAATTTTGAAAGAAGAAATCGTAACAGCTCAAGAAAAAACAATGATTGATCATGAACTGTCAGTATTGATCTTAGACTTTTATAATCGATTATGCCCTTTAAAATTGTAACTTACACTTGAAAAAATTTTGTAGGATAGATCAGAAGGTCTCGACTATCTTACCAATTTCGTGGAAACTCCTCCATATGCATGCTTCAGTCTCACCAAAGAATTGTCTTATACACACAGAAAACAAAGCCCCGTTATCAGAATATGTCTGCATGTTATAAATTATTCACACCAGCTTGGCTCGATCATGTACATGCTGTGCTGTGTCATATTAATCCACCAGTAATATCATCACCACCGTCTTAAAAACCGTATTGCCGCTGACTCTCTTTATCTCTGTCTCTCTGTGTGTGTGCATTGAAGCTTTCCACAAACACATTTTGTCCCTTTGTAATTGACAATTGAATAGCCCGTACAAGAAAGGATACTTCACCTCCCCTTTCCTTGAGAGATCTCAGATCTAATCTACCATGTGGCAAACTGGCTTAAGCTTAACTATAAATGGATGATAGGGTGATTAGCCTCTAGTGTATGTATATTCATCACTATTCACTAGAGAAGACCATCACTCTGTACGACAGTACCATTTCATATCCTTCCTCTGTTTCTTTTGCTCATCCATGGCACGCCCTAATTTTGATGCTCTCAGAGACTCACATAACTCGGCCAATGATTTGCTCCATTCGCCACTAACCAAGCAATCTCTTGTCCACAATCAACAAGAAAATTGGGTTCATCAAGTTTCAGAAGCATCACTGAGAATGTTGGAAGTGTGTAGCAACACCAAAGATGTCCTTCTGTTTGTCAAAGATCACCTTCAAGACCTTCAGTCTACATTTCGTAGGATAAGCATAGGCAAGACAGCCGTAGAAGGTAAATTTGCAGCTTACCATCACCACAGGAAGAGGTTGAAGAAAGAAATGTTGAAGCACTTGCACTCAATCAACGGAATGAAGAACAAATACACTACCTCAGACCTCTTTCCTAAAGAATGCAATCTTACTGTGGTCGTTCACGTGCTAAAAGAAGTGAGGATGACTGCTATGTCTATCATTGAGACACTGATGTCACTCATGTCCATGCCCAGCTCTAACAGAAAATCAAATAAAAGATCCTTTGCACCAAAATTCACGTGCGTAAACAGCCTGAGTTCCTGGGAAAAAAGTGACTCCACGGCACTCCAAATTGCAAATAAAAGATTGGAGGCCGTAGAGATTGCCATTGAAGAATTTGAAGTTGAGTTAGAGTGCATATTCAGACGCTTAATCCAAACAAGAGTTTCACTCCTTAACATCCTCACCAGCTAGAAAACATAGCAACACCACCAATTGGCAACCCACTATCTTAAAGGGCTGCTTGCCCAGGTTCATCGGTTACAGCTCAGCTGCAGAACCATAAAAATAATAAATTGTCAACTTAAGACAAAATTTCAGACAATCAAACTGACCATATTGTATTCTTTCATTTATTCTTAATAAAATTGGAGTTTCATACACTACTTTACAGCACTAAAATTATACCATTGCTCATGCAAATGAAGACTCTGCTTTTTATCAGTCTCTTACAAAGAATTTTTATAAGGTAGCTGGATCAACTCAAGTTAT